TTTCTCTCTCATGCATGAATTCTTTAACTCGTGACCTGTGATTTAAAAGTGGAAGGAAGTGCTGGGATGTTTGTCAGCATGAAAAATTTCACATTTGTAATTTTCAGCTTGAATTTTTCACAAGCCATATGGAACCGTGTTGTAGACCAAGCATGGAGTGCAGCTTTACTGTGGAGCAGCCACTAAGGAGGGCAGACAGCCTGTCTCTGCACATCACATTAGAGAGCCTCCTTGGCCATGTATGCATATAGATGTGTGTGCACGTGGGTTTTTTATTTGTGTGTGTCCTTCCATGTGGATTTACAGAGGGTCTGTCGGCGTGCCTGACTGAATGCACATGTCCCTCTGAGCATGTGCGAGAGTAGTTTAGCACATGTGACTTCGCCTTCTATGTCTTTCTCCTTACATCTGTATTTTCCTGTCTTGGCAGTCACAATGCCTTTCAGAGTAACTTAAGTTCTTAGTAGTCTCTAATGAGTGACGATGTATAGAGATTGCAGCCTATAGACTGAGAATCAATGACTCGACAGTGTGTGGTGAAGTGATCAGCATAATCGCTGTTCCGCTTTACTTCAAAGTCCAAGCCAAGCTGTTTCTTCAAGACTATCGGCAGAACCACTGAGTCATTTAACCAAGGCCTAGACTGCAAATAAGATCTCTTCATTGTAGGAGATCTATAGTCTACTAAGTGTAAGCGTTCTGTGGTCTAGGTGTTACACATTTCGGTATAATAAAATGTGCGAATAAGGCAGAATAAACAGAAGGATTGGTGGTTTAACAGATGGAGAGGCACTAATGGCATAGAAAAGGCATCATTTTCTATTTTTCTACTCTGGCTTGAGAGATACAAAAAAGAACAGAAACTACAAAGACACACACACACACACACTCTCCTGCAGACACACACTTATATCCTGAGACTTCTTCAACCACTTCTCAGTTCCATCAGCTCTTCTCCTGAGGTTGCTGTTCCTGTCTTGTCTCCACATGCCTTGTGAAATGAATTCAAGAATGCGCATGCACACATATTCACACAAACGTGTTAATGCTGGCTGAAGTAAAACCTAGCCGGGAGACATTTGATGTATTGCCATCATGGCTGGCTGGTGTTAGGTAAGGTGGAATCCACTCACTGTTAACTTGAATCGGATTCACTTCTTGCAACAAGAGAACCGCTGATCGAAGCACACAAACCGAGCTCCTTGCTTTGTCTCTCAGGTAAACGGACCGCTGTTTTGAACATATAACCGCTTTAAAATAGGTCAATCATTACCTAAATTCAGACAATTTTCAGAAAGAACAATAAAAAATAGAAGCTAAAAAAAACTGAATAAATAAATCACAGTTTTTTTACTCCTTTCACTGTACCTGCATGATGGATATGAATAAAGTACTCGATAACCAGGTTTCACTCACGGTGCACTTTAGAAACATACCTGCCCAAGAGTTTAACGTACCATTTGTCCAGTATGTTCAGCATTTTCCTGAAGCCTTCATCGCTCGTGTTTACTCAACACATATCTTTAAATGTAATGTAATTTCAATGTGCCTATGCATTTGACGGATACACTCGTTTGCTGTACAGTTTTATGGATGATTCACGTTAGCCTCCAATGTATCATTTCTCCTGGTTTCCATGCATTAATTAACTGCAGCCTTTGGTGTTTTTTCAGGCAGTTAAATAAAATATTTGTGCTGCTATTTTGCACAGATAAAACTACAACTCTACATCACTCTTGGCAAATTATTTTGTCTTGGTTCAATTCAATTCAGTTTTATTTATATAGTGCAAAATCACAACCAAAGTCACCACAAGGCCCCCTATATTAAAAAGTAAAGACCCACAGTAATAAAGAGAAAACGCCCCATGCAACCAAGCAATTGGTGACACAGGGAAGGAAAAACTCCCTTCTAAAGAAACCTGTTCAGGGAGGGGCAGCCATCTGGTGACTGATAGACCCAGTATGACTGTGCAGCGTGCTCGAACTCTGAATCTGAACTACCGTATTTACAGAAAAAAAATGGCAATAGCCAATATTCAAGTCAAAGCTTCAAAATGGCCCAAATCAATTGGTGATGTCATAGTAGCTACATCGCCCAATTATAAATAGTCTGTGCTGACAACACTTTACATAGTCAGCATGAATCTACATTAGCTTTTGATTATCCCAAATTCTCACTGTAGAGATTGTCCAAAAAAATGTAAATCATTGCTTCAGAAATTAAACCGGCAGCCACGAATTGATTTGACTTGAACGTTTAAAGAGAGAACGGGGAGCTGTAATGGCAGTGACCACAGCCGCTCACTGGGGTACTCTTATAATGAAAGCAAAACCGAATAGCTTTAGTGACTCCCAACATTGTAATCAAATTTACTTTACATGCCCGTGTGTGTGAGTGTGTGTGTGTGTGTGTGTGTGTGTGTGTGTGTGTGAGTGTGTGTGTGAGTGTGTGTGTGTGTGTGTGTGTGTGTGTGTGTGTGTGTGTACCTCAGTGAATACATGTGCGAAAGAGAAAGAGACAGCGGGTGTGTTTTGAATTAGTGAGAGCGACAACCTTGAGGTGACCTAAAGGATTGTATTCAGTAATTATCTGATTACTCGTCTGTTTTTCCTCACTCAGACACCCTGCAACTGGATAATGCTGTAACTCACTGATCACAACCTACTTTACAATCAATTACCCATTAACAGAAGAACGGTCACAATGCACACGGGCAGACAAACGCCGCCTTTGCTGCCACCGTTTCAGAGCAAAATGTGACAAAAGAAAAACACAAAAGTGCAAATTCTAAACTTTTCCTCATCTTGTGACTTTTCTATTTATCTGCCTCACTCGCTGTTTTTCTCGTAGCTTTGTGCAGACCTCAGCACTTCGCTGAAAGCCTGGTGAAGCACCACAGTGAGAAGGTGTCTCCGTCCCCTCTCAATGTCTTTTCGCGATCCTTCCATTTATGAAAATGTTTGCCCTTGCCTTGTCAAAAATGTCTCTTTGAGAGGAGATGATGCCTGGCAGCCAGAGAACAGGAGAGTCAATCTTACACACAAACAGCCACAAAACACACACGCAAAGCCATGGATATAGGTACTCACATTTCAACAAGGACACACATTTACTACACACACACACAATCTCACAAAAAAAACCCTTCTTGTCTCCTAGAAGCGATAACATTATGAGAAATTTTCAGTTTGTACAAGGAAGGCCAAAGGAGGGGCGCACGTCCACCTAAGATGCCAGATTAAAGAAAAGATTCAGACTCATCAATCATTCTCCCTTTCAGTCGTCCCTTAATGGAACATCTGCACGAGGCAGATGTTAAGACATAAATACACTGGCTGCAATATAAATATCCTTCACGTCACTCACGTTAGATACGCAGCACCAAAAATGACAACGACAGCCAGTTCAGATGAAGGGCAGCTGGTGCACAACACTTATCACAACATGAAAGCCGAAGGCACAGCGTAACATTTTCAAGCCATCACAGCATATTATATGAAGTCAAACCGAACACGCGACACTAAAATCACTTCCTGCTTTTATCCTTAGGTGATTTTGTCATTTTCAATTATTGAGTTTGGTTGGGTAAGGTTTTTGCTTGTTTTTTTCATTTTATTAGTTACATCCAAATCTGCCCCACAAATCTTGAAATGGATTTTTCTGGGTAATACTTGTGGTTCCTGGAATATTTAAAAGCAGATCCTTTAGCTCGGGAGACAGACAGCCTTTCTGCTTTTAGGATTAGGCTTAAAACTTTCCTTTTTCAGAAATCATATAGATAAGTCTAGATCCGGTGGCCCAGAGTCCTTCCTTAGTTACACTGAACAACACTTGGGCAGGGGCTCCTGGGGGGTTCCCATCTTTTTCACTCATTATCCATTTAATAATTAGTTACTATTTACTTTGGCTTCCACAGGGTGTCTTTTGTCCTGTCTACCTCCCCTGATCCGGTCATCCAACCACAGCAGATTCCAGAGGTTTCTTCGCACTGTCACCAAGTGCTTACACATTTGTAGGGTCATATTGTCGGGTCTTTACCTTATGATATAAAATGCCTTGAGGTGGCTGTTGTTGTAAGTTAGTGCTACATAAATAAAACAGACTTGTACTGAACTGACTTGGATTGAGAGGCACCAGCCTTTCAAACTTACTTATGCTGCTTGAGAATTAAAAGTGATTAAGAACAGCTTACATTATAATGACCTTCACTGCAAGCCTACAGCCAATAAAGCCTGTAAGTCCAGCACTCTGACATACCCCTAATAAAAATCTTAACTGTAAAAGCTTCACAACGACACAGAATGAATTCACATTCCTGCCTGTATGTGCATGTAACTGAACAGCATGACCTCAGGAACATAAAAAGCTCTTATTCAAGCAGGTAGCAGCTATAACGTGTTCCGCCTTAAATCTTTGTTGCCTAGAGGTATGGGATTTTCAGTGTCACACACATGTGATCTTTGTGAACCAGGGAGGCGAGTACCCAACCTTCACATGAGAAATGAACTGAAAAGTAGTACGAGGCCTTTGGGCTCAATCACGGTAGTGACTCAGCCACTTGAATCACACGGGAAGGATATCACACAACCAGGGATTTCTAATCCACAAAAGCTCACTTCTCACTGTCTGTGCTGTAACCCCCAGGCATTTTTGAGAGTCACCCACCCTGATGGGACTGCGAGCACGCGAACGCCTCTGAACTGGGAAGACCTTTCTTGTTGGATTACTTGTACCCCCCTTTCTTTTATTAAAGAAGTTTTGTGTGTTCTTCCTGGCAATCTGCCTCGGTGGTCTCGTATTTCATTGTGAATCCGACCTCGGTGTTCCCTCGGGTAGCACGCGGTGTATTCACTATAACTTTACAATATGTGAAAAGAAATTGGCTGCAGAGGTAATCTACAATAGAGCCAATATTGTGGATGTTGTAAACAGACAATGACCCACCGACAGGTGAATATACAGTATACAAGCGGACATATAGGTATACAGCTACCTACCTGTGTGGCTTCTGTGTGCATGTGTGAGGGAGGCCAGACAAAGAGATAGCAGCAGACTCCACACACCTACTCCACAAATGCAAGGACCCCGTTCCCGCATTCTGTCAAAGGGAAAGTAAGCACACAAATGTTGTTAGTGGACAGAAGAGAAGAGGCAAATTTAGAGAATGCATTGCTTTACTTGTATATATGCAAAAAATGTTCCTTTGATTCTCACTGCAGAACTGTTATTAGTGACTCTCTATCCCCCTCTACCTAATTGGGCACCACCTTTCTCATTTATGCAAGTCTGAACCTAATCAAGCACCACACACTGCTGTATATGTTCATGCATGAAGTGAAAAAAGCATCAGCTGAAGCGCAAAGGTTAGTTCAGTGTTTCCCATGAATTCACCAGAACGTTCTCGCACAATAACATGTTAGGCGTTTTGGTAGAAACACTTTAAGAAGTCAGGTGGTGTAAAGAGCAACATTCACACAGTCATACTCTAAAGCAGTGGTTCTTGACCTGGGTTCGATCAAACCCTAGGGGTTCGGCAGAGCCTCCACCATGACATGCATGGCTCATTTTGTGCAGAGTAAAAAACATATCTATGTCTTGAATTTGAAAAACATCATATTTTATTTTTCACTAAAGAGGGGTTCAGTGAATGCGCATATGAAACAGGTGGGGTTCGGTACCTCCAACAAGGTTAAGAACCACTGCTCTAAAGGATCTATTGAGGGCAACTTGGGGTTAAGTCTCTTGCCTAAGGATACTTGATTGGCATGCGGGCTGGATGAGCAGAGGACCAATCCATACACATTCATTCTACCACCTGAACCACATAACTGACTGCAAGTACACAAAAAGCACCTAACGCAGTCCACATTAAGAGCCGGGCTTGGTGGATGTCTGAAACACGGGACTATCACTCAGAAGACTGCTGGTTAAACTATGTTCAACACAAACCTTTTTACATTTACACTTATTTTTTCCTATTTGGCAGATCATTAGGGTAAAGTCTGGTTGGGACTCGAGTCCATGGTTTTGGATTGAAGTTATTACCATTTAAACTCTGTGGTGAAAGGGTTTCCTTTTTGGCAGAAAGTCCTGAGGATAATCTTTTGCTGTGGGGCTGCACCTTCAACCTAACGCCATAAAACAGCTATATTCAATCTCAGAAAACTGTCTTAAAATCACTGAAAGCTCTCTTCGAGTTCTCTCTAATGAAGCTTGGGCATAAGTTCAGTAAGGAAGATCTGTAATCACTCATCTGGCTGTTTTTCTGGGTGTCAGGTTGCTTTTCCATTCTTTAAATCACTCCCACTTTCCCACGCTGTCAGTCTCAATGCTGTCATCATTACTCTAGTCCAATCATCTTCTTTCCTGCCCTCTTTGAGCCAATCAACCTCTGCTTTATGTGATTTACATCTGTGATCTCCATCATTTTCCCTTTCAAACTCATTCGTGCAACCCACCTCCTGCCCATCTCCAACTCACAGACACCTCAGAGATGTATCCAAGCCTCAGTCTTCTTCTTCACCACCACCAGCATCTAGACTCCGGGGAGTCCTGTCCTAAATCGCCGCTGGGACTCCATTCTGCCATGATGGGTCATCAGAGTCTAACTACCAGATATAATAATTTCTCAATAAACAATGTTCAGTTCTTCCAAGTGAGTTCTTCCATTTCTCTTTATTGAACTAAAGTAGAGCCTGTTGCAGAAACGAAGTTCAAATTGATTTTGTTCTTAGGTTTGAATCACACATGTATAAAGCTGTTCAGTCTTGCTTCCTAGAAATTAGAAGTATGTCTAGTGGAAAACAAATAAAACTTTCACACCGAGACCTGGAGAAAGCCATCCACATATTTATTTTCTCTACTGCAACTCTCTCCTGTCTGGCATGAATGAAAAGTTACTCTCTTGCCTGCAGCTGGTTCAGAATTCAGCAGCACAGCTTCTTACTGGTATTAGCAGACAGCAATCACATCACTCAATTCCTGGCTTTTTTCCATTGGCTCCCTGTACGATTTAGAATTGATTTTAAGATTTTAATCATCACTTTTTAATGATGTTGCAATCTGGCCCCAAGCTACTTGGATGAAATGTTGACCCTGTATGAGCTAACTTCAAGCCTTAGATCCTCACATGGGGCCCTTTTGGCTAAATCATAGTCAAGAATAAAATCTAAAAGTGATTGTGCTTCTGTTTTTAGGGCCTCTCAACTTTGGAATGACCTACCTGAGGAAATAAAATGTGCAGAATTAGTAAACCTCTAAATCAATTTTTGAGACACTTTTTATGTGATTTCATTACATGTGATGTCTTTGATATTCTTTGATCCTCTGGTTAACATCTTTCATATGTCACATTTTAAATCTTTGTGTGTGTGTGTGTGTGTGTGTGTGTGTGTGTGTGTGTGTGTGTGTGTGTGTGTGTGTGTGTGTGTAAGAGAGACAGAGGACTCTTACAACTGGCTTTCTGTATAAATACACTGTTTGAATATAGTGCTTCTTAATGGGTCTATGCAAATAAAATGTATTATTACTACGAGACTGGAGGTGCAAGTGGACATATGTTAAACTATAGAACTGTGCGAACTTTATGTTTTGCCTTCAAATTGCCAGACTTTCTTGTCATTTTAAAGGACACTTGAGCAATAATTCTCCAGGCTTTCTGAAAGTCTTTCATTGTTTCTTTTTGGCTGCTTTTTCACTCATTTCCAGTCCATGTGTCTGACCACTTTCACAGAAATCTGTTTGTTTGTTTTTTCAGAATCAGAATACTTTAATAATCCAAAGGGAAATTATGTGGTTACAGTTGCTCCAATAAGAGCAGTGACAGAATGAACTCAATTAAATAATAATACAATATATTACAAAGTTACAAAACATAACAAATAGCTCTTGTATATATACAAATAGCTCAATTATAAATATCTAAAATATTACAGAGATTAAATATTTATGATTGATTGAATTGTTTTTATTTTTTTGTTTTGTTGTTAAGCCACTTAATAAATGATAATGGTAAATAGACTATACTACTTATATATCACCTTTCTACTTAAGTTGAGGACTCAAAACACTTTCATTCACCCAGTTCACGCACACAAGTTCATTCTCTAAAGGAGCCAGGGCAACTTGGGGTTCAGTATTTTCCCTAAGGATACTTTGATATGCGGATTGAAGGAACTGGGGATCAATCCATCCAAATCCAAGTTCCAACTGGTGGATGATCTGAACCACAAACTACTTACTGCAAACATAAAAAAGGACCTAACACAATGGAAGAACCTACACATAATAAACTACTTAAAACCTTAATTTTTCTGTCGGGCATAAATTTGAAGTTTTGTACCAACAAAGTGATTCCCAAACAACCATTAGCCAAAAACTTGGTACATGTCAGAAATGTGTGCAGTATGTCCTTAAAAAATCTTTGGAAACTAGACAAGTGAAGGACAAAAGAAAAAGTGGTCTTTCTACAACAGATATCTGTATTAGTATCTGAAAGTCATGTCCTCAGGGTACAGGAAAATAGCCAGCAAAGATCTGACACGGGACCCAAGAACTGCATCTGGTGCCTTAGCTGATCCATCTACTTATTTTAAAATGGTCTTAATGGAAGGAAGGCTGACAAAAAGAAGAAAATATAGAAGCAAAATATAAAGAAGAGCTGGCTCAAGGGTAGGTCAAGCTACACCCACTTTTAATACAGTGAACAGCCTCTCAAAATATTTCATCTTCTGCCTTCAGAACTGTTAGCACTTTGTCCATCAGTCTACAGTTTTAATCTAGACTTAAATACTGTATGTCTAAGTACTGAATGGATTACAGTGACATTTTGAACATAATGTTTGGTGATCTTCTGACTTTTCCTCTCCTACCACCACCAGGATCAGGCATTACCACTGAAAAAATCTCAACATCTAATTCATGGATTCTAAAATAATATGTACAAAGACAGATAACGCATCCTAACAGTGTTTGTGATTTTAAAACTTTTTATGCCTGTGGCACAATTATGTCCATACTTGAGTCACGTTGAGCATCAAATGTCATTTCTCTAATGCCGTGATGTATCATCTGTGTTACACCTTCTTAACGCAGTAACTGTGAGCATCCTGTAGAATTTAGCCAGCACAACGTCACTGCCATGCATGATTGTTGAGAAAACAGTCATGTATAACCCTTATACTCTACGACTAATGTCAAACATACACAACTGGCAATTATACCCTGCAGTGACCTTCTGTCTCCCTAATAAATACAAAAAAGGCTATTTCACTGTTCACTGCAATAAAAGCACCGGGGATGTGCCAAGAACGGTTCTGGCATTTTTGTGCCCAGACTTGCCTGGCACAGTGTGGAAACAAGATGGAAAGAAAACATCATCATCCACTTCAGGTTTGGCAGTGTTGGCTATTTGCTTTTACCACTTTCATCCCACTTAAAGACATCGCTCCCTGTCATGGCGCACTAACTGTCGGCTTTTCAGAGGAACCGCATTGCTCTTTGGGGCATACGTTTCAAAATGTGAATACAGCATCTCAAATATGCTACTGAGTGAAAAATTGTGTTCCGTCGGCAACATCCACCCATATGCTGCTGAATCTGTTGCTGCTGTTGCAAGTCACGAGGCCACAAGTTTGAGAAAGAAAAGACTGCAGGATGAAGGCACAATGCACACTAAGACACGGAGCCGACTCAGGACAGGTGCACGTTTGTTTTGGGTAAAGAAATAAAGACCTATTAGAGAACAGATACTGCCAATGTCCAAGCAGCCAACAACAAAAACAAGCAAAACAACAAAGCAAAAAAAACCTGTAACACAAAGCTTTTATACCCTCAGGTCTGACAGGAATCTGCAAGCAAGTACAAAACAACTCACCAATAAATCTAATAAAAACAACTTTTCTGATTAAAAAAAATATATTCATCAACTATACTGATCAAATAACAGATTTTATTTATGTGTGTGTATTCAATGTGGACAAGGCCAACAATGGTGAGTAAACACTTAAAGTACTGGGTATCCAAATGCTGGCAGGTGTTTCCACTGAAGTAAAGGATGCACATAATTAAAGCACTTTACATTCTGGGCACTAAGTACAC